AACTAAACATTTGTAAAGGATGATAATTCGAAATAAGCTTCATGCCTTCATTTTTTTTATGTGAAAATATCTTAAACCATCAATACGTTTTGCTGGGCATAGATCTCTGGGGGATTGCATCTCTGCGGTAGGATCTAGGTAAAGAATACCAGTATCGGGGACAGAACGTGTAAAGCAAGCAAAAATGTGTCTTCTCCTCCAATATTGTTTCCTGATTTATGAATGGAAGGCGACTTGACTGTATTGGGTCAGTAATTTGATTCAAATAACATTATGGAATTCAAAAGTGCAAATGTAAAAAATCCTAAAGGGGAATTTATCAGCTGTTATTGATTTGAATTAAGAATATTCTTCAAGTCAAAACACATGACCAGAGCATGTACGTATAAAATGAAGAAACTCAACAGCATCTCTGGAAATAGACACATTTTGAGCTCAAAGCTCCGGAACTTTTTTGTTTTAGGGGAAAGTTATTTTTTAAAGAGAAAACCAAATACCTCTCCAGATTACCTAATTTTAAAAATTAAATGCAAAGAATGTAAATGGAATGCCTTAATCAGACCAAACCACAATAATTGAATAGCCTTACTAATTTGTGAAAGAACTAACATAAGCAGTGGGCTTTTAATTTGCTTTTGATATAGCGTGCAAAGAGGAAATCACTGGCAGAGCCCTAGAAATCATATTAGAATTTCCTCTGGGTGATTCCTTAGAGAGCTTTTAATTGAACCACCTGCTTTAATCTCCATTTTTTTTCTGGATAAAATCCACCTCTTCGGTAACCATGGCCAACATGAGTGGCTGTTATTCCTACTCAGAACTTAAACAATGGGGCAGGGTTCTGTGCTAAGCCTCAAAAAGAGTCGGAGAAAAGTATTATGACAACACACAAGCCCTGAAACAGGTTGACTGCGGGGTAAGCAGGTGGTCATTCATTAACAGGGTATGTGCTCCCTTCTCAGAGAGATGGCCAAGGAGGCTTGTTCTAAACTTTTCCACCATTGCAACAGCTAATTTCTACTGAGTCATTAAGGAAATGCTATTAATACTGGTGTTATGGTTTGTGTCACCCTTGTACCAATGATAATTCACTAGCTGAAGTTAATGCTTTTCTAAGTGCTATGAGTTAGAGGACAATCCTGGTTCTGAGCTGAAGGAATTCTCATCTAAATGCAAATCAAGACAAGCCCATCAAGGATGCATGAATGGGTACAGTAATTTTTCCACCATTCAATGTTCAGCCCCCCAAATGCACTCTCACACAACTGTATTGGTAAAGAAGTGTCCCTTATCAGAATTAAGCTACCTTTGTTTTCTTCCCTGCACCAGAAGTTATATAGGTAGAAGGTGTTCAGAGTCTTGATTTCTTTGACTTAATGCTTGGTAAATACAACGGACAAAGAAAATCATTTTTCTAACCTCTGCTTTGCCACGTCAGACTTACATATCCAGGTCTCCACCATTTGTTTCATGTCCCAAAGATGTCACAGAAAATGTGCCCCCAATGGAACTTATCTTTCATCCCAGCTCTACTTGTCCTTCCTGTATTTTCCTATCTAATTTAATGACACTGTCATTCTTCCTTCATGCCAGGAACTGGAGAGTCCCCTAGAGTCCTCCCACAAGCCACATACCCGGGCAGGACTGAGTACAGCCTGTTTTATCTCAGATGCACTTTTACAATGAACCCGACCTCCACACCTGCCCTTTGTCACTACCTCACTGTCTTCTTGCTTCCTCTTCCCCCCCGTGAATTCTAGCCTCTAGCCTGTCACTGGAGTAATCCTACAAAATCCAAGTCTGACGCACTCACTCCTCTGAACGCCATCTCCAGGGCAGGCAATGACCAGTGTATGCTGCTCACCTGTTCTACGTACTTCAACTTTTCAGCTCTGGGAGAGGAAAGGGAAGAACAAAGAACATTCCACCTTAACTTATGTTGCTCCAAATCTTCTCAGTCTGGTCCCAAAGCAGATTTTGTAGTTTTGTAACACCCTGAGGATGAGGAGAATAATCTTCAAGTCCTTACTCTACCAGTTTGCCAACTTAAGGCTGGTTCTCAGACCTCCTTGAGAGTGAGACCAAGGGGACTAGACTCAGTCTCTCCCTTTGCACCTGCTGGTGTAACATTTAGCTGGATAACAATATAAAGGTATGCTCTGGCACGAATTAGTCAAGGATTGGCAAACTTTTGGAAACAAAGTTCTTTTTTTTTTTTTTTTTTTTGCAGTTTTTGGCGGGGGCCAGGTTTGAACCTGCCACCTCCAGTATACAGGGCTGACACCCTATTTCTTTGAGCCACAGGTGCCACTGAAACAAAGTTCAATTAGAAGTATTTTTGGCTTTGCAGGCCACAAAAGTCTCCACTGCAGCACGAAGGCAGACACAGACAATACATAAATGAATGGGTGTGGCCGTGTGCCAATAAAACTTTAATTACAAAACCAGGGGCTGGGCCAGACTCCACCTACAGGGCCCAGTTGCCAATCCCTGGATTAGGCACATGAGCTAAGACACCAAGTCCATGTGTGCTGGGTAGGCTGAGAATCCTGGACATCTCTAGGGTAGCATGAAACCATGCTAAGAACACAGGCTCCAGGGCCCAGTTGCTTTGGTTCAAATCTTTCTTTAGCATTTGCTAGACCTGAGCCTTTGGGTGAGTAACTTTATGCAGTTATCTCGTGTTACCCTGGCAACAATGCTGTGAGCGATATGCTATAGTCCCATTTAACAGAGGCCCCGCCGTGGAGCACCTTTCCATCAGCCTATGAACATGCCCAGTCTCTCTCACCTTGTAACAGAATTGCCCTTCCTGCCCGCCCCGCCCCTGCCTTAGCCCTCACTCTCGTCTTCACGCCAGTCTCCATGATAGAGCAGAGATAAAACATGGGCATCTGCCCATACTCTGATGTCTGACACTTACTCAGCAACACTCTGCAGCTGGCTTCTGCCCTTGGGTTACAGAATTGGTGACAGTTTCATCATGATGGTTTCTTAAACAAAAATTGCATACAGTGAAGGTCTGTTGCACAGCTTGGGATGCCCTTTATTGCCAGCCCCACTTTGGGGAAAAGGAATCACCACGCATTCTGCCTCCCAGTGCTAATTAACTCTAGGGAGGATAGGACACCAATATTTTAACCACTACCACTTGCAGGGAGAGGCAAGTTGGTCTTCTAGGGTGGAAAAATTTGAGATGAATCCTCAAGCGGCCTTGTCATGATCAAGGGACACAGAATTCACCAGAGAAGGGTTATCTCCTATCAAAATAGAGCAAGATAGCACACAAATGGAAATTTCTATTTTTTACCCTACTCTCATATGCCTGCGATTGATGACTGCGGCCAGGGCCCTGTGGATCTTCAGAAGCAGATATTCTACCCGTTAGTTTTCTTTCCCAGTGAGGGCAAGAGGCAGGACACTCCCCCAGCTGCTGGAGCTCCAGGGTTCTACTTCCACAGGACTTAACCTGTGTTGGGGAGATTCGGGCTAGGAATTACCTCAACTGTCTCTGAGTGCTCAGCCAAGTGCCCAGCAAACAACAGGGCCCCGGGACACAGCTGCCGCAAGATCCCTGCCCTCCTGGGTCCCTGAAGGCATGGCAGAGGCAGGGCATTTATCATATTAAGAAGATCCAAAATATTTCCCGTGGAGCTCAGCTACCCCAGGGAACAGAATGAATAAGAACCCTGAACACCCCGGCCCCTGCTCAGGAAGATGGGCCAAGTGTGCCATCTGTGTCTCTTACTGGGGCTCTGCCCTCTTTGTGTTCACCTAGCCACACTCCCAACAGTGCAGGGCACAGGAAGAATGCTATTAGGATACCCTTGTCCACAGCCAGGAGAACCCATACTCTCCGCCCATCCCCTCCAAACACAGAGGGCACTTGTGTGAGCGCGGGGGCCCTTATGATGCTCCCCCACCCGCTGTGAATCAGTCCTCTCTGCCTGCAGCTCCTACTGCTTGACCCTGTGCAAATTTTTTTTCTAAACTATTTTTAAAGTTTCTAATCTGTTGTGACTCACAGACTATGGAACTGTGAGTTTGCCATTTCTGGGCAGATAGCTTTAACATCAAGACCTTATTAGGTTGTAACTTGATCTTTAAAATGGCAAACCCTATAAAAACAAAGCAGTGCATATAAAAGCCTTCCCTGCTTCTCAACCGTCAAGTCATCTGAAATATTTATAGATTTTAAAGTGCTTGTCTATCTTTAAAAAAGGTGTTATTCAAAGTAACAACCTTGAAAGACTGGTTGGTGATTTTCTTCCTTCTTTTTTCTTTTTCTTTGGTCAGTGATTCTCTCCCAAACATTGATACCAGGAGAAATAGGAGTCTAGTCCATTGATCCATTGGCAAGACAGTCCGCTTTAAAACAACCTGAACACCGGAATTTACTGCTCAATTCACTGAGTTATGCTACTTTCCAGGACACGTTATGAAATGAGTATTCGTTATCTATTATCTGTTGGTACATAACGAATCACCCAAACTCAGTGGTTATAACATAGTAATAATTCATTATCTGGCCTGGACTGAAGGCTGCAGAGGTCTCTGCCTCCCTGTCCCGCTCCCCTTTCAGGGGCTCCCTTTTCTATGAGAGCGTCCTAAGGCACATGATGCCAGACTTTAAATCCTATAACTCAAGAATAAAATTTCTATTTGTTTTACTTTTTCTGCTTTGCCCAATTACTCGGTACCCCAATCAAGGTAAATTCTAACGTACCTTTTAATGGATGGTTTTTAAGAAGAAGCTGAGGGAACAAACCACTCCTTTTTCTGGTCATGTTCCAGATGGACGAGATGTTGCCACTTTCCATTTGATTTCTACTTGCCCACTGTGCCCTCACCATTTTTTTCCCTCAGCCTATGATGTGTGATAAAATGTACCCCAAATGCCAGAATAGCACAGTGGCAGCTGCAGCTATGTGCAAACAGCTCCCGCCCGGGGGCAGCCCTCTCACCGCCCCACCACCACCCAGCGCAGGGCCCGCACTTACATAGTGAGATGGGGACACCGGCAGAGGCCTGGACGGGCTCTGGAAGGAGGACAGGCCGAACCTCTGGCCTGTGTCAGGAGGGGAAGAGGCATAGATGCGATTCTCTAAGCGCTCCGGCTCGTGCTTGTAGGATTCCAGAGGAAACGTGTGCTGCTTGGTCACTTGGGTGGGTGTCGATGGAGAGGAGGAGAGGCCGGAGCCTGCGGGAAGAAAGCCCAGAGTGGTGAGGGGTCTGGTGCAGGGAGGCAGAGAAGGGCTCTCCCATTGCCCAGTGCCAACAGCCTCACGTGGCAAAATCTAAGTGATTTGACTCTGAGTGCTAAGAAAAGTTTCAGACCCCTATTTCTAGTCTCTTAGAATCATCTGTGTCCAGAAATGCCCTCGTTATCCAACTTGGGGTGTATGTGTGGAGAGGCAGAGGGGGAACGCTCACACAGTCAGAAGTATCTGAGTGGAGGTTTACACGCACGCACGCACGCACGCACGCACGCACGCACGCACCGGAGGCTGTTTTCCTCCATGCAGTCACACACCGTTTGATCTCCTCTTTTCCCCTCCCTGGCATGGGGCGAAGAGCAAACGTCCTGGTCACATCCTTACTGAGGTCACATATTGGGAAGTTCACAGCATGTACTACAGACATAGGTGAGCACTGCAGCAGCGACAATGACAACGTACCTGGAGACCCATAAGACATGGGCTGTTACCACAAAGTGTGCAGCGTGAGTGTGGTTGCTGTAAGTCCCCAGTAGTGAGACTCCACTATGACCATAAATGCCAAGGAAGGAGGCCAAGGTCTGTGTGGATCTTCTCTCCCTCTCCATGCACCCTTTATGGGGGGAGTTTAGGGAGCTATCAAGGGAGCAGTATTCTTTTCTAGGGAGGCCCCTAATAGCATGGAGTGGTGCCGGTGGGAATCTCTGCTCAGAGCTCTGGGCTGCTGGGGAAGGAAGCTCTCAGAGGAAGGAGGAGACAGAAAGCTCCAGCACGCCTGTTCTCGGGGGACTCAAAAAGCCCCCTAACAGCAAAGCCCCAAACTCTTTTGAAAAACAGAAGGCTTTTCCCAAAGGTCCGAAGCGGCCAGACTCCATCCAGGTGGGCCCAGGATGAAGGAGAGAGAGACAGAGAGTTGTAAGCCCCCGGTTGTGGTCTGCAGCCCCTGGGAGGGACAGGGGCCTGCAGGCAGGGCCGCAGAGGGCCCTTCTTGGGGAGGCTCCGACTCTCCCACAGCCCCATGAGGACCAAGGACACAAGCCAGGAGGGCAGGCAAGCCCAGGGCCTCTCAAGGGCTCCTTGGGGGAGGGGGACAAGAAGGCCACTTGGGCTGATTTGTTTGCAGAGAGGGTCATAGGTCAGGTCTTGGACCCCCCGAGGTGGGACGGTGGAATGTCCTTCAGTGACTCTTGCGGGCAGAGTCCTCAGCAGAGGCACTGCTCTGGTCCCCATAGTACACCTCAAACACACCGGATCCCTCATGGGAGTCAGGTAGGGAATGTTCTGGTCCATACTGTCCAGCCTCTTTCTCTACAGGACACCCCCCCCATCAGTGGTCCCTCCCTGGGACTGTGTCCCTGCTTCCCATGGGTGTGTGGGACCCTGATGGGCAGGACAGAATAGGATCTGTCAGGGGACACCACATCCTACGGACCAGTGACAGCAGCTCAGGCAAAACTCCCTGGGGCCTGGGGTCTTCGTGTGTGAGTGGGGCTGGCCCTAGTGGGCTCTAATTCCTCCTCAGCCATGTCCATCCTCACTCAGGGCACAACCAAGGATAGTGCTCCATGCCTGCACTTTCACCCACTCCCCCAAGCACACTTTCTGGCCCAAACTGCACCCAGGCAGGATTTGAAAGGCCCGGAGGAACCAGGAGTCTCTGTGGAGCCTTTTGGCAACGCCCACTAACACTACAAATGTGCTTGCTTCTTCACCAGACAGTTGGTTTCTGGGACTTTCTTCCACAGACATATCTGTATAATTGTTTAGCTGTGAGTGGATGGTTACTCATTACCACGGCAGAGCCTGGAGATACAGATGACGGTCAAGAGGAAGAGGCTACATTGATCGTGGGTGTCCCAAGGCAGCCACGGTCCCTGATGGAACATGACAAGCCTTCTCATTCATCTCCAAGACAGAGCAGCAAGTGCAAAGCAAACCCAGAGCCATCTGCACGGAATGATACCGTTTGTAGTTTCAGAAAAAGAAAAAGCGTATCTATATTCTGTCTGTCTGATTATAGAGCATCTCAAGAAGGATCTGGAAGCACTGGCTTGTCTCCAGGGAAGGGAACAACTGGCAGAGAAAACTTTCATCATATACCCTTGTCTATTTTTTCAAATTTTTTATCATGGGAGTATATTGTAATTTTCTATTCAGAAAATTACTTTTGCAGTCGCCGTTCTGCTTTTGAGCCAAGAAGCTGGCTGAGGCCGAATTTAAGCCCCTCTCCTACCGGTCCAGCAGCCGGTGGCAGGTGTCTGCCCCAGGGCCAGGGCTGGTCCTCCTGAGTCCTCCCCTCCCTCTCTGCTTACATCCCTTGGTCTCTCCCTTCCAGATGCTGTTCCCTGACAACACCTTCAGGGAGGGAACCCAGTTGCTGCCAGGTAAGGGGCCCTCACAGCCAGTGAAACTCCCTGCTGGTTCTTTGAATGCAGAATATTCATCTTTCCAGTGTAAATAATTTAAAGACATTATGACTGTGGCTCAGCAGCTTCCCTCCATCCCCACAGAAGGCAAGAGAGACTAGATGCAGATGACAATGGCGCCCAGCCCTCCATGGGCCTGGCTGCCCCACTCTGCGTGAGGAGGACTTGAGAGGGCTTTTCTTTTCTTTTCTTTTCCTCTTTTCACTTCAGTATGTGGTATGTTGTATTTTCCAGTTAGTTTAATGCTTTAAAGTTCAAGGATGTCTCTGCTTTCAATTGTACATGGGCCTGAAACATCTTAGCTTTTGGCAAGCAGGCAGGAGACTCAACAAAAATCAAAATAGGAACAAGGCAGACTAAATGCAGGGCACAGCTGTAAACATGTTATACATTTGAAAATTACAACATCAGGGCGCTGGCCACACACACTGGGGCTGCTGGGTTCAAACCCATAGGCCTGCTAAACAATAATGACAACAACAACAAAATAGCCAGGCATTGTGGCAGGTGCCTGTAGTCCCAGCTACTTGGGAGGCTTAAGCCCAAGAGTTACAGGTTGCTGTGAGCTGTGACACCATGGCACTCTACCTAGAGCAACAGCTTGAGACTCTATCTCAAAAAAAAAAAAAAAAAAAGGGCCTACCACAATTTCTGAACCTGAGACTGATAACAATAAATTATTTATATATATGTATACATATATCACATATAAAAAAGTTGGTTTAGACTTGAGTGGGCTTTCCATCTGGGGCTGGGAGCACCTCGCTTCTGCTGGGATGGAATGATTCTCCATTGTCCTCTCACTGCAATCTTTCCAAGTTCAAAACGTGTAGATCTCTCCACTCAGCCTCCCTGCCCCCTCCCTACTCCCTTCCCAAAGGTGGTGAAAACAGATGCCACTCTGGACTGCAGAATGGGGGGGTAGGTTTGGGGGGAGGGACAGGTAAAATGCCAGACCTATGGCAAGACTCACTATGGGCATTTTAGGATTATCTGTATAGCGTATGGTACCTTCCTGCCTGGCTATTTTGTTGTTGTTGTCATTGTCAATATGCCCTCTTGGCTGGGGTGTGGTGGCTTATACCTGTAATACTTGCACTCTAGGAGGCTAAGGTGGGAGGATCCTTGGAGCTCAGGAGTTCTAGATGAACCTGAAAAAGAGCAAGTACCCCATCTCTACTAAAAATAGAAAAAACTAGATGGGTGTGGTGGTACCTGCCTGTAGTCCCAGCTACTTGGGAGGCTGAGACAGGAGGATCACTTGAGCTTGGAGAGGCTGAGATTGCTGTGAGCTATGATGATGCCAGGACACAAAACCCAGGGCAACAGAGTGAGACTCTTTCTCAAAAAACCAAAAATAAATAAATAAATGCCCTCTCTTTTCACATGTACCTGATTTTATTTATTTACTTTTTTCAAACAGTCTTACTCTGTGACCTAGGCGGGAGTGCAGTGGTGTCATCATAGCTCCTGGGTTCAAGTGTTCTTCCTGCCTCAGCCTCCCAAGTAGCTGGGATTACAGGTGCCCCGCACAACGACCAGCTAGTTTTTCTACTTCTGATAGAGAACATTTTTAACAGGCTGGTCTTGAACTCCTGGGCTCAAGCAATCCTCCCACCTTGGCCTTCTAGAGTGCTAGGATTAGAGGCATGAGCCACCCTACCTGGCTGATACTTGAATTTTTTTAAAGGGGGCACAGTGTTGTGGCATCAGCACCTGTTTTGCACAGAGCCTTCCTGTTTACAGAGTGCTCCTGCTCTCCTGCTCCATGGGCCCCTCACAGCCACCCTGTGTGTGTGGGGAGGGTTGACCCTCTGTTTAACAGATGAAGAAACTGATGAGTAGAGACAGTTGCTACTTATCCATGGGCCTTTACCAGTGAGTGACTGGCAGGAATCACACCTCAGCTCCACTGTCCTGATTTGGAATCCCAAATTCTTTCTGCCACGATTAAACTGGAATATCAAGAGAAAGACCAGGAAGATTTAAAATCACATTTCAGCTGTGTGAAATGCTTTTCCAGAAAGTGGGGTTTCACAGGTCACCAGGAAGGAGAGCTGGGAAGGCCCCACTGGGAGCCTTCAGGGAAAAGGAGGGCTGCCGGGGTGCAGAGAGGTCGCGTGGGCTTGGGACTCTGCGTGTGGCTGTGGGTGGGCAAGGACAGGCTTCCTGCAAAGTGGGGTTTCTGCCGTGCTAGCCAGAAAGAGCCGAGATGATGATGCACAGAGAGACTTCACTGGTGCTTATGTGGTCCAGTCAGCAGGGGGAACCATCTTATGCAAGAGAAGGGGAGTTAAACATGAGTTCCTAAACTTCTTTCTTTTTTAATATTGGTGTCACAATTCATCCATAAAGGGGGAAGTGGGGCACTGCTGACCCAATCCTGCATCGTTTTTAAATAGACCAATTTATTCCCCAATCATGAGGTCAGTTCCCATGCTCAGGTACTTCAGCAAATGAACAGGCAGATCAGCACAGCAGTACCTACCAGGCCCTGCGGGCCCTGTGCTGCAGGTGCCGAGGGAGGGTGTGTGGAGATGAATCCGGTGCAGGCCCAC